ACTTCACCAGAGACAGAGTGGGGAGCAGAACAGGCAGATCAATGAAGTACACTGCTGAGGGGAGCAGCGGGTGGGCCAGGAGAGGTCTGCCGCGCCATGTGGTCACCTCTGGGGCAGGCGGGAATCGAACTCATGCAGAAGTGGTTTCAGCTTCTTAGTGCAGTGCTTTAACCCGCTGCGCCACCAGGGAGGGCCAGCACTAATAAATCTTAAAAAAAAAAATTGGTTCCATTTTTTAAGTCAACTGATGGTTTTCTGCTTAATCCACTCAAAAAGCAGTTGTAGGAGGAAGCTGGAGTCCACGCTGGGACCTCTAGTGGCGGAAGAGCTTTCTGTTCCAGTCCAGGGAGGTGCTGCAGGAATTGAGAATGGAGAGGAGGAATTCCTTCACACACCCTAGTTGTCTTTACTGGTTCCATTTTTCTTCAAATGTGTAAATCAAGTGTGAAAACCACTGATTGATATACCTAGAACTTGCATTTTGTATTTCAAATATCCTTGCCCTAGTCAACAGACTTACCTGAAGACTTAAGACAACAGGTGACACAGCTTCTATACATTTGTACGGACATTCCCTTCCGTTTCATAGGTATATTATATACCCACTTCTAGAGGACTTTGTAGTTCCATACTCATTTGTTACTTAGTTTGGCTGTTTTCTGATGACTTGCAAGGACTCTGATTGGTTTCAAAATCACAAGTATTCTGGGATACTTCCTGTCAAGCACTTGCACTGAAACCTCATTTTTAGCATAAAGAATGCCCTGTATTTCACCCTTCCCATTTACCATTTTTCTTCCAAATTAAAGCCAATTTCATTTTGGAGCTTGTCCACTGCATTTCTTGCTGCATAAACAGCAAAGAACAGAACTTTAAAAATGAATACTCATATTCAGGTAATGATCTTTGAGAAGGGTAACAGAGTAAAGCTGGTAATAAAACTAAAGATAGTTCCAGCTGGATCACAACTCGGTCATGTGCCGCGGTGCCAAGGAAATGTAAAAAAATCTGTTTATGATCTTGCATAGTAGAATAAAGAGCTTGACAACCACTTTTATCTAGCTTGCTTAAATAATTTACCAAGAACTTTTTTATTCATCAACCACAGAAAATCTTTTCAATGCTAAAATTGATACCTATGTAATTACCAGTATCTAGTGTGTTAATACAGGGCTAAAACACAATTTTTAAAGTTCACAAATTCCCCTTAAAAAAGTTAACAGCACAACCTGACCTAGTTTCGGTTGCTGCTTCGGCTACCGAATTCCTCACTCAGGGAATTGAAATGGTAGGGACCTATCTCTTATCAAGTTGCTTGGCAGGGGAACCATGGCCCAGATGTTGCATCTGGCTTTTGATAATACGGACCCAAGCCCAGGAGTCACACACCTCCTTGGCCAATACCAACAGAAGGCGGGCCCCAAGAGTTTGGGCTAAAAACTCTTGATAACACTATTTTTCCATTTGAACAACAAAAAACGTCTGATTTTAGACCAACCAGTCAGTCAGTCTCAGAACATTGGTCTCACTGACTTAAAAAAAAAAAAAATCAGTATTTTGCATGTCTATAAACTGTAAATTTAGTATACCCACCTGGGATCACCTCCTAGTTGAGAATTTAAGACATGCCAAGTACTAGGGACGATTAATAAGCACAAGAGCCCCTATGTGACTCACTTCAAAGAAATGCTTTGGAAAGATGTCTCAGTGACTTTAAAAAAAGGGCAGAAAACCAAAGCCTCAGGGGATTCTCAGACACTGGAGCCCTTGAGAGAGGCAGTAAGCCTTTCAACAGAGGGCTGGATCAGGAGGAACAACGGCTTGAAGAACCTGCCCAGTGTATTTCATTTGTAAACGGCCGAACAACAACAGAGAACTGAGCGGAGGACAGCCCGCGCCAGAGCATTGCCCACACGGCCCCAAGCTCCACAGCGAACCTCAGTCCACTTGTACACGCAGTTCGAGCTGACGCAGACACACAGGTCATTGTCACCAGAGGGAACCAGTGCACAGAACGGGGCTTCAGTACCCAGCGTATTCTCAAAACCCGCTCGCTTCCAAAGGTTACCTGGCAACATACTGACTTCAGGCACAGAGTAGCCATTATCTCCAGAAGGGAGTTTCTACATCAGTTTCCCTACTCCAGGTCAGCTGGCCCATCACGGTACTTTCACTCCCCCCCTCCCCCCAGCACCTTTATCACTCACTGTACAGCAGAGAAAACCAGAAGAAAGGTCACAAAGAAAACCCCTCGGGCCAGTTTGAGCCCCGCGCGTGTCATCAGAATCTGGTTCCAGTTTTGCAAACTGAAACTTCCCTACCCTTAAAAGGCCATACAGCTCAGCTCCACGAAACTCCCTGTGTAACTTGGTGACTAGACTATTTGCAGGAATTGGTATTGCTGGGTGGAGGGGGTGCAGAGGGAGAGGCAACAAAAACAAAAACAAAAACCACACTTCTTTGAAAAGGTAAAATAGCTTAAAGCGTTTAATATCTAAACAAATCAATCTGTTAATAGTAGTCACAAAATATGCTTAATATAGAAACCCACGTTTATGTCTTTTAAGAAAAAGTGTAAATTGTTTTACCTGAAAACATAAATTAATCCACTTAAAGAATCTGCAGCAGTCAAAATCATGGTGAATTTTAAACAACTTCGGAATAAAATAACCTTAAGTACTTTATACTGCTTTATATCTAAAAAAATGCTTACAACTTCTCATAAAAATAGTCTGAGGCAACTATTTTTTCTTTTATTCTTTAACAGACATTTGAACAATCTTTAAACCCTAAGATTCACAGGCTTTCAGACATTCAAATAGTAAGGTCCCCTTTTCTTTTGATGTGGTTTATTTAGCTAAAAAAAGAAAAAAGCATGGTAGACAACTTAACACATTTCCACCAAACTGAAAATAGTACAAAAGGCTCGTGACTACAGAACTACACATCGTACCTAGTGTGGCATTAAAAATAGAAGAGTCTCCTCGTAAGCAAACAAAGCACCACCCCGTACGCTGCCCACGCCTCAGCCTACTGTCACCATAAATTATTTACAACTTCTATTGTGTGAAGAGAACTAGAATGTAAATTTTCTGCAAAACTGGAAAAAAGCAATACAAAATTTGTGAAAGCCTCTGCTTTATATCATACAAAAGGGCCAGTTTTTCTCCTCAAACGCCAGGTGCCCGCAGCGTTGCTGAGGGCGTGTTATAGCAGTTCTTGTGGATGCTTTAACGCTGGAGGCAAGTTCACGGGCCTGGATTCTTCATCAAGGAGCACCAGGTCTTCTATTTCGCTGCCTCGGTATTTCCTTTTACATATTCGCACCACCACCTTCTTCTTGAGAAACAACTTCAACGCTTCTCTCGATGCAACAGCTTTTGCGTTTTCTTTGCTTTTCCCACAGCCAGTACCCAAATACACAGACTTGCACCTCAACTCGCAAACGATATTTTCCTGAGAGCTCTTATTCTGAGGCAGGTCTGCCAGTTCTTTCAGCGGGACAAAAAACACATCCAGTGTTGCTTTCAAAGCCTCGATCGCTGCGTTCAGGAGCTCTCCGTGATTCACACTGGGACTGAAGCCACCAACAGCTACCAACTTCCACGCCACTGTTTTATACAGTCTGTTGAAAAAAGGCTGCTTCTGCTTCACATCTTCAGTGGTTAACTTGCAATAGGAGAACTTGACAGCACTCTCACTTGTCTGTGAAGTACTTTTAGCAGGCAACTGTGACGTGCTAGTCTGAGAACTACTCTTGGCGGCTAGCTGGGACACACTCGCTAAGGAGGTGCTTTTGGAAACCAGAGACCCACTGGGCTGGGAGCTGCTCTTAGAAGCTAACAGTGATGCAGCTACCTGTGACGAGCTTTTGGAAGTCAGCACTGATGTACTTGTTGAGCTGCTGCCGCCCTTGGGGGTTAGCAGGGATGTGCCTGATGAGGAACTGTTTTTAGAAACCGAAGAGGAAACGCTGGCCTCGGAACCAGTTTTGGAAGCTGTCTCTGAACAAGGTTTAGAAGACAACAACGGCAACTCTACCTCTGAGCTTCCTGAGGAGCCCAGCAAGGGCACCTCTATCTCTGTCACACTTTGGGAAGCGGACACTGCAGAGCCTTCCAAACCACTCTTTTTAGGTGATCCACTTTGTTGTCTGGCATCAGCGGATTGGGTCACATGACTATTTACACTGGATTTCAACAATGAAGAGACAAGCGATGCCGGACTGTGTTTATCTGGAGCCTCTGCTTCAGAAGCTTTTCCAGACCCTGCCACTGTTACCTGAGAGGAAACGCTGCCGCCGCTTTGGCTGGAAACAGGCCGGTCTCCCTCACTCGCAGAGCTGTTCTGACTCGAGCCAGAGCCCCGAGCCGAGGACCCACTGCTCTCGGCCTTGGTAGAGGACCCAGTACTCGCTGAGCTGTTTTCCTGCTGGGCTGATGCGCGTTCTGTCTTGGCCGACGTTTTCGCAAGTTCTTGCTCAGCTGCAGAACTGTTTTTTCCTTCCATGACTCGCTTTTTCAGCGGCTCGTCTACCCCTTCTAAAAGGAAGGAAAGCACACTTGTGACCAGGTCTACCTCATACCTTGGAGATAAAAACTTTCAAGACAGATACTTGTCAAAATAACAGCACAAAGCAAAACATTTTAAGACTAATGATTTCTTTAGATATTGCAAAATCACTTCATTAATTTCTTAAAGAAAAAAAGGCATGAGTAACATTAACGTCTAATATTAAAGGTACACAGCGTAGACAGCTGATACTTCGGCATCTGTAACAAAAGAAGCCAAATCCAAAGCCTAAAACATACAGGCATTAATTTAGGTTTAAGGTTCCAATTTTATGAGTCACATGACATTTTCAATTCTAGCTGGTTAAAAAATTAGTAACAAGATTCCTAGTTACATCAAATTTAAGCTCTAAACTCCTATGTATGGTCACATCTATGATCTGCTAACCATTGCTACTCGATATCCCTCTTTTCTTCACCTTGGCAACCAGTTCGTCTCTTGTGGTATGGGTGGGAGCATCTGTCACTTTGATGCCTTCCGCCATACTAAGTATTTTATCCATAACTTTTTGAGGATACCTGCAAAAGAAGGAAAGCACGCTTTCGAAAAACCTCCTACTTCTGACGCTCCCGACGGGCCACCGGAGCTGCATTTCCCGGCTGGGATCAACAGAGTGTAGCAACCGCCAGAAGTTTCGGTTTCCGGGAACCCCACAAACAAATGGCCGAGCGTCTGGGCGGCGGGGTCCCGCCCACCGACCTTTCAACTCGAGTGTCCGCAAGGGCTTCGCGGGCCCCCTCCGCCGCCAGGGGGGCCCCTCCCCACCAGGCAGGGGCACCCACGGGGCGCTGATCGCGTCCGGCCCCTGCAGCGATGCCCTCCCCACCCTCAGGGGGCAGCCGGGCCCGCGGATTCCCGCGCTTCGCCACTGCCCCTCCCCACCCGGGCCGGTCGGCGAGGGCGTCGGGCCCCGGGCGCGCGGGGGCGGGGGGACGCGGAGCGCGGCGCCGGGGCGCTTCCTGCTCACTCACCGGCACCCGAGGAAGACGTGGTTGGCCCAGGCCATGGAGAAGGAGACGAGCTGCTGCAGCGGCCGACTGCGCGGCCCGCCCTCGGCGTCGGCCGCTTCCTCCGCGTCCGGGCCGCCCTCGCCGCCCGTGGGCGCCAGGTCGCCGGCGTTGCGGAGCAGAAACTCCCGGCGGTGGCGCCACTGTTTGTCAGTCTCGCCGTCGCAGCGCAGCGCCTCCACCCAGGCGGCCACCCGCGGGTTCTGGCCCAGGAACTCCGACACCTCCTGCGCCATGTTGGGCCTGCGCGTGGTGGAGGCCGCGGGCCGACGCTGCACGGGCGGAGAGGCGGGCGGGGGGCGCGGAGGCGAGCGGCCCTGTCACTGCGGCCTGCACCGGCGGCCCTCCGGAGAACGCCCCTCGGAGGCCCCGCAAGCCAACAACAGCGCCGGGAGCCGCCGAACCGCCCACTTCCGCCCGCCGCCGGCGCCTTCCCTTTTATAACCTCGCCGCCGCCGCGCGCACGCGCGCCCTTCCGGCGTCAGCCGCCTCTCCCAGAATGCTCTGCGGGCGCGCCGCTGCGGTGCCGACGGCGCCGC